CCCCGCACTCTGTGCTGGGGACCCCCAGGGCCACCAGCTGGCAGGGAGCAATGGGGAGTCCCAGGACGGCCCTGGGGGTGACAGTGATGGTGACAATGACCTTGAGCTCAGCACTGGGACCGTGGGGAGCGCTGATGGCCACAGCGAGCTGGACACTGCGGCCACCGGCTTGGGGACATCAGTGACACCGGCTCCCCTGGATGAGATGGACACTGTGGCCAATGATGTGGTGACACCAGTGACAGCCAGCCTGATGGACTCGGGGGACACTGACCTGGTGACACCAGTGATACCAGCCCCACTGGACGAGATGGACACTGAAGCCACCAGCCCTCCTGATGAGCCGGACACTGTGGCCACTGACATGGTGACACCAGGGACACCAAGCCCACTGGATGAGCTGGACACTGCAGACACTGATGTGGTGACACCAGGGACACCAAGCCCACTGGATGAGCCAGACACTGCTCTGGTGACACCCAGCCTGATGGACAGCACAGCCACCAGCCTGGTGGCACCCAGCCTGTCAAGTGCTGTAGCCACTGATGCTGTGACATTGGTGACACCCAGCCCCCCAGATGAGCCAGACTCTATGGCCACCAGCCTGGTGACAGAAGTGACAACAAGCCCACCAGAGGAGCTGGCTACTGAGGCCACCAGCCTGGTGACACCGGTGACAGCAAGCCCACCAGAGGAGCCGGCTACTGAGGCCACCAGCCTGGTGACACCGGTGACAGCAAGCCCACCAGAGGAGCCAGATACTGAGGCCACCAGCCTGGTGACAGAAGTGACAGCAAGCCCACCAGAGGAGCCAGATACTGTAGCCACCAGCCTGGTGACACCGGTGACAGCAAGCCCACCAGAGGAGCCGGATACTGAGGCCACCAGCCTGGTGACACCGGTGACAACAAGCCCACCAGAGGAGCCAGATACTGTAGCCACCAGCCTGGTGACACCGGTGACAGCAAGCCCACCAGAGGAGTCGGATACTGAGGCCACCAGCCTGGTGACAGAAGTGACAACAAGCCCACCAGAGGAGTTGGATACTGAGGCCACCAGCCTGGTGACAGAAGTGACAA